TATATATATATATATACATATATATCATATCATCTTAAATTAAACAAATATAAATTTTAATTCTACGTATTATATCGTACTTCGCTATGATATATTTCTATCTTACATTTATTTATTTCTGAAATATACAAAAAGGAATAAAACCATATGCTTACAGCATGAGCATTGTTTCATTTACAGAAATTATTACACATTTTGTTGTTAATTGTAATTAGTTTATTACTTTAAATCTGAAAACTTAGAACATGTATTTATAATTATCCTTTTTAAATTTTTATTAGCTCTAAAATAATACTTACTATTTTTTTTACAACTAATGCATATGTATTTAATTTAAAAAGTGAGGAGTATATATATTTGTACATACAAGGCAACTAAATATTCGAGTGTTAATTTAACATAATATAATTATGTTATTGAAGGATTAAATTAATATTCAATGTGTCTTAATTTCAGAATTATACAATTTATGAGTAAGCAATTGTATATAAGCAATTTTCGTAGTTAAACCTCAATAGTGCTGTAGTTAAAATGTGTTTTTCAGATTTAGCAAAATGTGCAGAATTTTCTCTGCCTCTTCATCTCATATTTTTTAAAATTATTAATCGGAAATATCTTGCGTATATGTTTTAGTTATAATATAAACGGAATTATTTTTTTTTTTAAAGAAATACTTGGAGGGGAAGAATACTTTGGTAAGTTTTCGAAAAATACATTTATTAAATATTAGATATTAAAAATTCAAGAACAATTTTTATAATATATTGTTATTAATGGATAATTGTTTCAGAAAAAGGTGGCCAAGTTCGTTAGAATAATTGCGTAAAAACAAGTTGCACTTATAATGAGAAATTATTAGAATCTTTAAAATATGAACTACAAAAATAACATATATATATGTATATATATATTTATATACACATATATATCATATTATCTTAAATTAAACAAATATAAATTTTAATTCTACGTATTATATCGTACTTCTATATGCTATATTTCTATATTATGTTTATTCATTTCTGAAATACACAAAAGGAAATAAAACCATATGCTTACAGCATAACCATAGTTTCACTTACAGAAATCACTACAAATTTTGTTGTTAAATGTAATTATTTTATTACTTTATATCTGAAAACTTAGAACATGTATTTATAATTATCCTTTTTTAAATTTTTATTAGCTCTAAAATAATACTTTCTATTTTCTTTACAAGTAATGCATATGTATTAAATTTAAACAGTGAGGAGTATATATATTTGTACATACAAGGTTACTAAACATTCGAGTGTTAATTTAACGTAATATAATTGTGTTATTTAAGGATTAAATTAATATTCAATGTGTCTTAATTTCAAAATTATACAATTTATGAGTAAGCAAATGTATATAAGCAATTTTTGTAGTTAAACCACTATAGTGTTGTAGTTAAAATGGGTTTTTCGGATTTAGCAAAATGTGGGAAATTTTCTCTGACCCTTCATCTCATATTTTTTAAAATAATTAATCGGAAATATCTTGCCTATACGTTTTAGTTATAATAGAACGGAATTATTTTTTTTTTATAGGACAATGCCGTTCAGTTGTCACGTAAGGTAAGTTCCAAAAATACATTTATTAAATATTATATATTAAAAAATCAAGAACAATTGTTATAATATATCGTTATTAATGGATAATTGTTTCTGAAAAAGACGGCCAAGTTCGTTATAATAGTTGCGTAAAAACAAGTTGCATTTAAAATGAGAAATTATTAGACTCTCTAAAATATGGACTACAAAAATATATATACATATATATCATATTACCTTAAAGTAAACAAATATAAATTTTAATTCTACGTATTATATCGTACTTCTCTATGATATATTTCTATATTTCGTTTATTTATTTCTGAAATACACAAAAGGGAATAAAACCATATATGCTTATAGCATAAGCATTGTTTCATTTACAGAAATTATTACACATTTTGTTGTTAATTGTAATTATTTTATTACTTTAAATCTGAAAACTTAGAACATGTATTTTTAATTATACTTTTTTAAATTTTTATTAGCTCTAAAATAATACTTACTATTTTTTTTACAA